ATGTTTATATGTGTGAAGTGTGACAAATGTAGTGGATGAAGCCTGTTTTTCACACATACCTGAGCCACTCCTACATGTTGCTACCGTTTCAAATCTCATGTACACCTTATTATGTGTATGATACCAGAATGGTTTCATTTAAATAATCTTTATTTCTGTAACGATTTATATGAAAGCTGCAATGCGTATCGGACTGAGACAAAGATTTCATCCGGTAGTTTAACACAGGCGAACCTGTTTGTGCAGCGCGAACCACCAAACCACTTGTTTTGTATAGGCTGAACGTATGTGTTAATGTGACCGGTACCACTTTTAATTTGGATTAGTTATAAAGTCGCCACTATGTTAATCTAAAGGAACACTTTTTAAGAAAAAGCAAATGAATAACACGTTCCAAACCTTGAAATGATGATCTTGTAAACTTAACAAACTCTGAAATGTAACATCAGCTACAACAATGTCAATCATTAAAAAAAAATTCTCAACATTAAATTATAGATACAGGCTAATTAACTGCAGGTGTAATACAAAACTCAAAAAAATCAGGACTCTATAAAAGCTTTACATCACAGAAAATGTAATAACAGCAATTCCATATCTTGGCAAATGTTCCTCTACAAAGGTGTGTGTGTGTGTGTGTGTGTGTGTGTGTGTGTGTGTGTGTGTGTGTGTGTGTGTGTGTGTGTGTGTGTGTGTGTGTGTGTGTGTGTGTGTGTGTGTGTGTGTGTGTATGTGTGTGTGTGGGTGTGTGTGTGTGTGTGTGTGGTGTGTGTGTGTGTGTGTGTGTGTGTGTGTGTGTGTGTGTGGTGTGTGTGTGTGTGTGTGTGTGTGTGTGTGTGTTGTGTGTGTGTGTGTGTGTGTGTGTGTGGTGTTAGCTTTGGTCCCTTTGTTGACACTGCGTCTGAAGAGTGGATTCTAAGACTCATTTATATTTGCTGTGTTATCGTTGGTCATGTTGTATGATAATAAGTTGACGTCATGCCAAACCAAACCGATCTTCAGGCACATGGAAATGTCTAAGTGCTCCTAAAGGCCAATCTGCCCCTGCATTTCTAAGGCTGTACTTTGTCACAGAGGTGGTTTGAGCTAATGTCAGCTTGCTAACATGAGCACAAAGGCAATGCTTACATGCTCAGCACGTTCAATGTTCACTCTCTTAGTTTAGTGTGTGGCTTCTCGTGTGTGTACTAAACAAAAGGAAAACATCTCATTAGTAGGCAGGTATTTGATAAAAAAAACCTTATTATTGTAAAAATTCAGATTTTTTATCGGATGATGGCGCTACAGGAAAAGTGATAATCAAAGTTTGAAGATTATAGCTTATTCTGAGAGGTCATGAATATCAGCATTCAGCACCATATTTCAATGCAATCTATTCTATTGTTATTTAGACATTTAACTCCAAACAATGTCAAACCAATGGTGGCGCTAAATAAATGTATTAAAAACGTAATCGCAATGCATTGATATTTTAGTCTGGACAAAGTAAGTAGTCCTACAGAACTGACAACAGGCCGATAAAATCCAAAATTGGGTATGAACAAATAGAGTTACAAAAAACATAAATATGGACTCATTTTTGAATGAGCAAATTGAGCAGATTATTCACAAGGAAATAATTGTTGCAGCCCCACTTGACAATATGTCCGACAAACTGAATTGTCATGCACATGTTCCTCAGCATCGTGTACAGTACGTGGTTGCAGGTTCACCTTTTTTTACATTTGTTTGTTTCAAACCCGGAAACATAATGCTTTTTACAGCAGTGTTCTCTCTGATGCAGAAATGATCAGTGAGCGCTCAGGTATCTTGTTAGAGCTTTGAAGCGAGCTAACAGCAGGTGTTGGTGTCATGATGCAGAGTATGCTGCGTGCCTTGAGGTGTATTATGCTCATGAAATACAAATAAGATTAGTGTCCTTTCTCATATGATAAAGCAATTCCATCGTTCGCATGCAGAGCAAGACTGCAGGCTGTGTTGACTGTAAAACACAGATACAGGTGGTTTAGAGAAATGTGTGTGTTTGTGTTTGAGTAAGGAAGGAAGGAGAGTGGGAGTTAAGGACCTATGGAGGAAGGCAGAGACTCAACACTTGCATCTGGCTATACTGATACACTCCCCGTGCTTCAGTAAAGGTCTGATAGGGATCAGATTTCATAACAGCCTAATAACACCCTCCAAGGGGTCTCAACCTCAGCTTTTCTATCTCTGCAAGTGCTTCCATCATCTTCACCTCAACAATCCAGCCCCTGTCAACAGCCATCAACCCGTCAACCGACTGATATTGACAATAAAACACGAGGCAGGATCAGCGGGTTGGAGTGAATATGTGCACACATGCGTGTAAGGTTGGGTGAAAGGTCCAAGAGTGGGCACTCGTTCCAACACCACCACCTGGAGAGGAGCTCGTTGTGAACCTGGTAGCAGCTATACTCTCACACGGTGGGACAGATTTCATGGGAGCGTGGAGAGGAATACAAAGAGGCAGCCGCACAGAAAGAAAAATGTATAATGATCCCCGTTGTCACAGCCATGACTTTTGGACAGCTCCACTCGCAGCATGCTGCAGAGGAGATGGAGAATTGTGAGCCTTGTCGTGCATCATAAATGTAATACCATATGGGAATGTAGCCCTCACACGCAGAAGAGAATAGGACATTTGTGCGCCTCATAAAGGAGAATGTATTGCCTTTTACGAGGTAGCGAAGGACATATTGTGTGGCAGGCCTCATAAACATACATGTTTCTCTTATGAGTTTTTCTGGGATTTGAGGGAAGGCTGTATAGAATACAAAAGTAGGATTAAGAACCGGATAAGCATTCCATTGAAATGGCTGTACTGCTTGAGAAGGGATGAGGATGAGGAGAAGAGGACGAAATGGAAATAGATGAAAATAAGATGATGTGATCTGGGATCTGAATGTGAATGGAAAGGAGGTTGAAGGTGCAGGCAAAAATAATCATGTATGGGATGTTTGTGCTGATAGATACAAGATCAGCATGCATACCGTTCCACTCACCCCTGCCCCAGCAGGGCTCTTCGGTGGCAATCTCATGCCTTTTTTTCTCTTAATATCTGCCACGGAGGTATCAAGCAAAAGTAGATTTTGCGCGTGTGCAGGAATTTTCATCTCGTTGTCTCTGGTGGGATTGTTAAAGCAGACAGTGTCTATAGATCTTTGGAGGTCACAGCATTTAGAAACCTCCATTTGTTGGTGCCATCATCCCTTGGTGACAATAAAAGACAATTGGTGTGTGTGAATCAGCTTGTGGCAGGGATCTGGACCCCTGTGCCTCAGGGTGAAGACCCTATCATCATCCTTGCTTGCTGTGCAGGTCTGCCGAGGGAGCAGCAAAGCTTAAGACATCATGCCCAGATTTAGCAGCGTTACTCTCTGTATCTCTGGCTATTTCTCTGTCCTCTCCCTGTGACTTAGCACAATCTGCAGAGAGACTGATCAATAGATCACACCAACAAGAGGTCTTGAAGCCAATTAGGCCTGGCAAGCCGGTGTCAGGCGTGTCAATACTGAGGCTTGTCTGCCTTCAGGAACAATGGATAAGGAATACAATTGGATATATACGTGCACGTGTGCATGTGTGTGTGCTTGTGTGTTTCTGTTTGTGCTCTGCAGCTTCTGATTTAGATTAAAGATCATCAGCCCATCCAATAGAAGTTCTAGCACATCTTAAGCTCTTGACCGCTCCCCATTTTCAGTAAATGCCTCCTTCACTGTCGGGTCTGCTCCTACATACCAAACAGAGCAGAGAGGTGTGATGAAGGGTGCTGATCAAATGTCATTGTGCAGCTTTCATGAACAATACTTTAGCGCCCTCTGTTGGTGTGTTAAATTCCCACTTTCTTTTCTAAATATTGCACTTTTTTTTACTTGTTCCTGAATCACAGTCGATGCACGTGACCCTAAGTGCAAACTATTTCAACTAGCTTCTGATAGAAAAAAAAATTGCGTTTTCCTGAACCTAAAATATTAGTTTAATTTCCTCTTGCCTCGAGCAAAAAATCCCTCCAAGTTCATCCAATTCTGAATACAATTTATCTCTGTCTGATACCTATCTTGGATTAATCATGAAGGTGCATTCATTAACTTAACTGCAAGGTTTATGTGGTGAAAGATCGAGATGTGGTGAGGGTTCACAGAAGGGGAAATACAATCCAATTAAATCAGTATTGGTTTGCAAAAGACTCCTGGCCAAGTAATAACTGAGATCCTCTTTCTCTCACACACAACCTCACAACCACACACTCACACACACTCACACACACCCACTCTCTCTATGACAATCAAGTTAATTAAAGTAGTTGAACAATCAGGTACTCAGTCTCTGAGTAAAGGCAGAATTAGTCACCCTCAAACTGAGCACTTTAAATCTTAATCAGACATACACTAATTAAACTTCATTTCATCAATATCACCTAAAAACGGAGTATTTTGCTCTCTGGTGCTTATGTGTGAGGTTGTTTACATATTGACACCAATGTGCATTTGATGCATGTATGTTAACAACTTTAAAATATCCCATGCATGATTGTCTCTATGGTGTATCCGTCTCTAACTGTGCACACAAAGCTCTCTGTTAGTATAAATCAATACTTATTATATAGTTATATGTTTAAATACATTTGGAGCCATCTTTTAATAAATGACAATTTTAATAGAAATGTTTTTTGTTTTAATTTCAACCTTCAACAAAATAATGTTTTAAGTATAACATTGGAACATTATGTATTAAATTAGTCAACTTGACATTATTTACATACACAGTTTATTCGTAGTTGGTTTTGAAGGACCTCTCTTGTGTATACTGCGACACCAGATGGTAAAAGAAAGCTAATGCAAGAAACTAAACAAATCAAGCCAAGGGAAATTAGGCTTCGAGCTTGTTCGTCAAAGCTTGACTAACCAGTTGTGTCATAACAAATACTGCTCTGGGCATCTTAAACACTTTGCATGTCAGTTCAGACCAGGAAGAGGAATCCAGCCATTCCCAACCTGAGGGGCTTCAAACTAGGAATTCAGTTCAGGAAACATGCAGACAGGCTCCGGCATGGCAATTTGTTACATTTTTGCAAGAAGTTAAAAACTTGGATAGTGAATGCCAGAAGCTATCAAGAAAATGGGGATTTTTGTACCTTGTAATGCTTTCAGGAACTACCCACTTCACTCAGATGATATGAATAGGGAGAAAATTGGGAGCAGCAGGAGTAGTATGGTGTTACGGATTGGAAAAGGAGAATGGACAAAAAGATCGTGACCTCACTTCCTGGTAAATATCAGTCCAAAAGACGTTGCCTGTGGTTACCAGTTGCCTTTTATTTCCTTCTGTTATCAGTGTTGTAAAGTTTTACAGCTCTCACGTCATGGGGGTTTAAGGTTCAACACACCTTAGCTGCATGGTCCTTTCCTCTTTCTGGATATGTTAAGAGTCCAAGTAAAGATCAGGACTGACATTTGGAACATAAACAGGTAAGCTTGTTTCACTATTAACACATTTCTGCCACATCAGTTATTATCTAATGGGTGCTTAGAACATAATTAAAGTGTTATGGTTTACAATAATATTGTATTGTTTGTTAACATTTATATCACACGTAAAATCAAAGCAAAGCCTATATTTTCTCTAAACATATCTTTAAGATTTATTTTGGTCTGTTAAGAGTCTAATAGACCAACATACCGGCCGCGTACCGGGGGTTGGAGGCCACTGTACACATTAGGCATGCGCAGACAAGAAACAAGGAGAGAAAATATGTTGCCAGCAGGGAAAAGGACTAGGCAATGCAAGGTAATCATTGACTCAGCCAGACTATTGACATTTTCGCACATAAAAAAGAACAGCCTGCATTCACGGAGAGATCATACCCATAAAACAACTCACTTTAATGCCTGTCAATCAACACTCAGAACAAAAGGAAAAAATAACATGTGGGTTGAAAATGGCTGTTTCTGCCGCTTAAGCACTCTCAAGGACATTTACTCCACTTGTGGTGTTTTCAATGTAGTTGTAGAGGTGTTAAGTACATGAACAAACAGATCTTTCTCACTCAATCCCGAAGTTAAACTGAGTGCTTAAACAACACAAGGGTTGTCAAAATGACTGGGTTTTTGCATGGGAGCTCCTCTCACTGATGACTGAGAGCACCATTGTTTTATCAGGCATTATATACAGCGAGAAGTATGGCAAGCCGATTTAGCTTTTATTCATTTCAGGAGGATATCAAAAAATCAATTCTTACTAGTAATAATGTTTATTTCTGATATCAAAAATTGAATTTTAACTAGAATGTGTATTCTTGATATCAGAAATGTGATTTTAACTAGTGAGATTTGCATCGTTTTTCTCATTCATTTCAATGGGAGTTGGAATTTGAACTAGTTCAAATGCCAATTTCTGATATCAGTAATCCAATTGTTGACATCAGAAATACAATTTGAACTAGATATAAATAAAAGTTGAATTATAACTAGTAACAATTGAATTCCTGATATCAAAAAAGGATTTTGAACTAGTTCAAATTGTATTTCTGATATCAACAATTGGCATTTCGACTAGTTGAAATTGAATTCTTGATATCAGAAATTGGTATTTTTACTAGTTCAAATGTAATAGTAACTAGTAACAAATTAATTACTGATATCAGAAATTGGCATTTGAACTACTTCAAATTCCAACTCCCATTGAAATGAATGAGAAAAACGATGCAAATCTCACTAGTTCAAATCGCATTTCTGATATCAGAAATATACATTACAACTAGTTACAATTGAATTTCTGATATCGATAATTTGCATTCTAACTAGTTAAAATTCTAATTTTGATATCAGAAATAAACATTATTACTAGTAAGAATTGCATTTTTGCAATATCCTCCAGAAATGAATAAAAGCTAAATCGGCTTGCCATAGCGGAGGGACCTGTTACCAAACGGAGAACACGCCAACAGACACACAGAAACACACACACAACTCCACAGTATGCATTGAGTTCCTTATGTGTTTCATTCTTCGCAGGTTGAGGGGATTTATCTGAAAGCTGAACGTTCCAAGCACCACACAGTAATCATGTATAATCCAACAAAAGGTGAGTTGTTTGCAGTTTATGAATGAATGAATATAAGAATGAATGTATGAATGAGTTTGAACGCCAAAACTATCTAAACCAGGGATGAGCAGCTCATTAATGCAGGGTCCTGTTTTCCCTCATGTGTTTTTTTCATCATTTATCCAGCAGTATTTCATCTTGAAACACCTTCTTTATGACTTGTTTTTCTTAATTGTTGTCATTAATCAATTAGCAAAGAATGCACAGCACAGAGCATGTATTTATGGTTAGACACTCCTTCATTATTATTCATTATAATAAGCTCACCATATAAATTCCTAAATGAACACGTGTTATGTACTACAGAGACATACCTGTAATTTCAGTTCAGTTCAACATTATTGAGCAGAAATGTTCTTAACCAAGAACGATGTCAGTAAAGATTAGTCCTTTGAGCATTTTCTCAGATTAAATCTGTGAAACATCTATTGAGCTATTGATTGTATGTTATGTTTTTGCTATTAGAAGACTGTGGTTAAAGATATTAACTAATGTTTTTCAGAATTTAAAATTAAATATTAAATGAGTTATCCATGTTGTTTCCCGAATTTCTTTTCAGATGATATATATGCATATGCATTGTCGAAGACCTTGACAAAAGTGTCATCACCTGCCACTGTAGGACTCTACTCTTCATGTCAGAATCGACTTAACATGATCCTCGGACAAATGGAAGGTATGTTAACACTCTCGGTGCACCAGCATGTCGTTTCTTTTGACTGCTTACATCTTTAAATGAAAACTTTAAGCACTCAGGCAGTGTCTAAAGTCTATAGGAACCTCATATTAGATTAGATTCAACTTTAATGTCATTGCACAGAGTACAACAAAATGCAGTTTGCATCCAAGTGCAAAGAGTAGTGAAGTGCATTAGTTTTCAACAAATGTACATAACAGAACAAATATAAATGTTAGGATCTTATAGGACGAATAGGTTGGCATCAAGTCTACAACTTCATCTGTTTGCATGCAAACAGACCGTTTTTAGTTTTTTACTGACACCACAAAGTACACTGTAATGATGACTGAAGTTTTTGAAACAACGGTATATGTTGACTGTAAAAACTGCACACGCTAATTAAATGCTATGGCAGCATAAACCTAATGTGTATTCTTTTGCACTGACATAGCCCCTGCAGTGATAAAACTCACTGAGGTACGTCTTGGCATATGAATGGGCTGTGCACCACCTCAGCGCCGGCTCATAGTTAAATGATTTCTTCACAACTAACTGAGTGGAAAGTAGACATTGTAATTCTGCTCCGTAGGCCTCTGGGGGATCTTTGTGTTCAGTACACATACCATTATTCTCCGAAACACTGTAGACAGCAAAACAAATCTAAAACAACAGTGCATTCAGAAAGTGTTAGCACCCCTTAACTTTTTCAAAAAAGATTGTGTTTCAGCTTTAAGAAGATTTAAAAGATTTAAAGAATACAGATTTCAGTATTCTGAGGCTCTGAGCCCCATTTATTTTCCTCGCGGACGGCAAAAGAAAGTCTGACATTATACAATTTAAAATAAAAACAATAATCGTGGCTTGATATTGAGTAAGAAAATGTTTCTATGAACCACACAGCTTCCGGTCTTCCAAGACCCGACCGGACAAAAAGACGTGGTGCAGGCACGAAACATACTACCAATAGAAATACATTGCTTTTAAAATCGTTCTGTGTGACACGAAAAAAAGGTGAACACGAATTAATATATTACATTTATTTTGTGACTATTACACGAAATACCGTGAGACTGGGTTGGCCCATATGCTGCAAATTGTTGTTTCTTACACAACCACTAGAGGTGCTAAACTTTAAAACGTGACTATAGGTCGTAATAAGCTGTTGAACAATCGACCTATTTGGTCGTATGAGTTGGAGGACTTGTTGATACAAATATAACGCTTTGAAAGGATTTTAAACAGATTAATAAATATGGTTTTCAATGGCTCTACATTGGAATTACAGATTGAAAAGCACAATCTTTTGCATACCATTAGTTTTCCTGCAGACTGATTATTTTGGTTTCAGGTCTAGCACCATGGCCAGGGTTGGTGCAAGCTAAATAAGTCTAAGTACCAAAGTTAGGGCTATAATATTCCACATAAGTTCTATTTATATCCTGTTTAAGTCCAAGCCATTACCCAGCATGGTGTTTTACCTACATCTCAGTGTTTCACTCTGCTTTGAATTATAGGTTTATCCATATATATGTATCCAAAAAGCATAAACAATGTATCTTATATAATAATATTATCTATGTTTTGTGACTCTTCAGTGTACATGAAGCAGGAAGCGTCGAGGATTGAGCAGGAATACAAAGGAAGGTTCCGGCCTCGCTCAGCTAGACCATCAATCTGCGGTTTTCTAGCTCTCATTGGAAGAATGCTCTTCTACAGACCCATTTGGACAGAGGACAATCAGCAGCACCATAACGTCAGATTCATTTATGTACATTTTAGTGCGTGGCATTTTGCAGGCAGTGACCTGCTGTGGGCCGGGCTAGCCATACGGCTGTTTCAGGCCATGCAGATGAGCTTTGGGAAATTACAGATTGTACTCTATCGTGTGGCTCAACATGATGAAGAAATGGAAGTCCAGAATAAGGTTTGGGAATTTATTTTCACTTCTCTAGGTTATTACACAAAGAGGGTACAGTTGCACTAGTGGTTCTTAATGCTAACCTTCTCGGTTTAGGATTTTAACTAACATGTTAACATGTGCTAATCAGCGCTTAAGACATGCAGCTAAAGGTTAATGGTAGTGCTAATATAGGCAATGTAAATGAATGCATAACAATTTATAGCAAACTTGTCTAAAAGTGTGAGGCTATTCACTTGAAAGAACTAGCCACCTAGCCATGCCACTAGCCTGACTAAACAAACTACAGTAACGTCTAACTGTGTCTGATTTTTCTATCTTGTTTGTTTTTTATTAAAAACAATTAGAGAGTGGAGGAAGGTCTCAACCATTGGAGGTCCAAAAAGGTTTGCTGCTGCCCTCTGTGGTTTCTCCTCCTGTCCATCCTCATGGTACCACTTGTAATCCTGGTTTTCACATTGACTTTTGGTCTTCCCAATCCTGAGATGAAACCAGGTGGAGCAGTGAATGGAACAAACACAAGCCATGTGGGAGTGTTTGAGGGCCTGTTCATCGCTTCCATTGGACTCCCTGCAGCAGGAGCTTTGAGGTTTGTCTTTCAGATGGTTAAGAACCTCATCTTCAGCCAGGATCTGAACATTAGGAAGGGAATGGACAATGAGCGAGTCAGCAGCCAACTTGGCTTCATGAACGACGTCAGGAAAGAAATGTGGTTACTGTCTCAATTCATCCAGTTTATGGAGGTGTTTGAGAGAAGGAGGATCCGAGTGGTACTGAAGATCACCAATCTCGACCGCTGCTCCCCAAAGAAGATTGTTGCAGTTTTGGATGCCATTAACATTCTGCTTTCAGATGAGGAAAGTCCGTATATTTCCATTCTGTCTGTAGATCCAGATGTTCTTGTACAGAAAGTGAACTTTGCAGATGGTTGCTTCAGCAAACAAGACAGAGCTTATGCATTGTTGAACGGAATTGTGACTCTGGCCTTTACAATCCCACCACTGGGCGATGACTCAAAGCGCAGTTTATTTGACAGCCTCACTAGCAATTCAAAATCCCCTGATGACTTAAGCATGAGCAAATATAAGCAAGGAACTGGGGCTCTAAAAAAAAAGTCTTCCTCAGATGTATTCTCAGTGGAGTTTGCCATTGAAACGCAAGAGTCATATCCACTGATGGATAAAACTACAGCAGCACTGGATGTAAAGGACGAGGAAGTAGAGAAGTTGGTTAGGAGCATCCTGAACAGCAACGAGAGGAATCTTAACAAGTACATGTTAGAGGATGCCACGTCTATGAGGAGGGTGATCAACTCCATTCGAGTGACTGTGATAGTCATGAAGGCCTTGCAGAAAGAGCTTCCTAGACCAGAATACATCGCTGCATGGGTGGTCTTAGCTAATCAGTGGCCCTGCCGCCTCAGCTGGATCCTCCAGTGTGTGGAAGACGCTCAGCAGAGAGCAGATATTGAACTTGACAATGTTCCCAAGGCTGACGATTCAAAAACCTTGTGGAAAGTCTTCCAAAAATCCAGGGCAGAGCTGTATGTGATGAGTGCACAGATTGAGGACCTCCTGGAGCAGGATGGAGATCCTGAAATGTTTGAAAGATTTCTCACAGTAGATTTCAAATTCACCGTAAAGGACTTGAAGACCTTTGAAGGTTCGACAGTAAACCTGGATCATTCAATCAGGAAGGAGCTGGCTCACATCAGAGGGACATCCAGGCTGAAAGATTCTGGCTGGATGAGGAACCTAGCCCCTCTGCCAATCACAACCATCATCAACATGGATACAGAAGATGTTTGTAAAGAAGTAAGAACAAAGTTGTAATGTTTAAGCTTTCAGTCTGGATTGATTTGGAAACACATGTGGTCAGTCAGAAAGTGCAGTGTAACGTGTTGTGGAGCTACTCTATCAGAAATACAGCTGAAGAAAAGTATGTATATCTGAAGCAAAAACATAACGTTTTTTGGACTATTGCAAATCCAACAGAAAAGGAAGTTTATATACATTTAGTAGTCATAGGGAGGATTTGAAAGTAAATCATTTTACTCTTGTGTTTATAATGCTTACATTTTCTACTTTTTTGTAGTTGGAGAGGCTGGACTACCAAAGTAAGTATAATGATATTGTGAGAAGAAATAACCTCAATGGTTCAGCCCTGCTCTTTGGTGATACAGACGACCTCAAAGAGCTCCTACAAATGACCTTTGGAGAATGGACAAGATTCAGACTGCACTTCCTGGGTGTACCATCACGTCTCCGACAACCGTACAAGAACATGGCCCCGCCAGCTTCTCATCCTCAGGCCAATCGATTTCACTTCCACATGCCTAATCAGTACTCGTCTAATCCAAATCTGGTTAACGGCAGCATGTAAGACTCCAATCCATATCCAGTGTCCATAAAATGATGATGTGCATGTGTAACACTTATTAACAATTTGTACAGTAACAACACGTGTGCAGAGTTCAGGAGTTTATTTAAAGTCATTACATTCACTTTGTTCAGCTACAAGGGCTTGTGTTACTTGATTATGTCCCTGTGTCCACCTAAAATCAATTCAGACATCATGACACAATTCCATCTGATAAACGATAAAGACCTGAAGGACATTATTCAACATCTGAAATCCTCCTCCTGCAGCCTCGATATTATTCCAACCGGATTTTTCAAAGATGTTTTTTCATTGCATGGCCTCAGATCTACTTCACATAGTAAACAAGTCTCTCCACTCGGGTGTATTTCCACATGCCCTGAAAACTGCAGTAATGAAACCGCTCTTAAAAAAGCATAATCTAGACACATCCGTAATGAATAATTATAGGCCAATATCAAACCTCCCATTTTTAGGCAAAATGATTGAAAAAGAGTCATTTCATGCTTTTAATAATAATAATAATATTAATAATAATAATAATAATACATTACATTTATAAAGTGCTTTTCCTGGTGCTCAAAGCGCTTACAATATTAAATAAAACAATTTTAAATGACGGTGTTGATGTGTTCCAGTCAGGCTTTCGACTAAACCACAGCACTGAGACTGTTCTTGTTAAAGGTCTTCAATGACATCCATTTAAACACAGACAGTGGCAGAATATCAGTGTTAGTATTATTAGATCTCAGCGCTGCATTTTATACTGTTGACCACCACAACATATTGCTAGACCGACTAGGAAACTGGATGGGACTTTCGGCAACAGTTCTAAATTGGTTTGATTCCTACTTAAAGGACAGAAAAAACGTTGTCTCTATAGGCAACTACACATCAGCGTTGACAAATATGACATGCAGGGTTCCTCAAGGCTCCATCTTAGGACCTCTGCTTTTTAATATCTATATGCTACCACTGGCTCAAATTATGAAAAACAACGACCTAAGTTATCATATCTATACAGATGACACCCAGATTTATTTTAAAATGTCACCAGGAGACTATTCTCCGATTACAACACTGAGTAAGTGCATTGAGCACATCAATGACTGGATGAGTAGGAACTTTCTCCAATTGAACAAACAGAAAACTGAGATGATTGTTTTTGGAGCAAAGGAGGAACGATTAAAAGTCATCGCAGAGTTTTAGTCGGCAGACTTCAAAACAACGAATAAATCTAGAAATCTAGGTGTAGTGATGGACTCAGAATGTTAACAGTCACATTACAACAGTAACTAATTCTGCATACTATCACCTGAAGAACATATCTATATCTGTCTGTCAAATAATTGATTATAAAGTACTGCTGCTGGTTTTTAAAGCACTAAATGGTTTAGGACCAAATTATATTAACGATCTCCTGCAAAACTATGAACCATCCAGCAGGAGTCTCCGGTCTTCTGGGACGGGTCTGCTCTCTGTTAGAAGAGTCAGAGCTAAACATGGAGAAGCAGCATTTAGCTTTTATGCCCCGACCATCTGGAACAAACTCCCTGAATCCTGCAGGTCAGCTGCAACTCTTTATACTTTTAAATCCAGACTAAAAACGTATCTTTTTGACGCTGCATTTGGATGAGTTGTTCAAATTCAAACTGCAGTATGGCTTTTATCCATGTATTTTATACCTGTTGGGTTCATTTTATTATCTTTGCTTTTTTTAATGCCTGATTTTAAATGCTTTTTTATAATGTGCTTCCACTGTATTTATTCTTAAATGTCTTTTATTTAAAAAATGTAAGCACTTTGGGTTGCCGTGTGCTGAAAGGTGCTATATAAATCAACTTGCCTTGCCTTGGAATTTTTTCTAAATCTCATGCAACTATGAGAAATAAGTATCACATAAAAGTCAGTTAACTTAAGGAAGAGAAAGCCCAACAATCATAGTGGTAGTGTTACCAAGATGTCCAATCATGTAGAAATCTGCCTTAGTTGACGTGATTGTACAATTGTGTTTATAATGGACACATTTTTCATTTTGCTACATCTCACATTATGAAAAGCACATCATATGATGGCTGATTCACATTAAGCTGCTTTTGTTTCTTGGTCCTGGTATTGTACATGCTAGTTCATTCACACTCTCACGGCTACACTGTGACACTTTAGTAACATGGAGCCAGTGTTTGTGTCACAAATAACACCTGTGCTTTTCTTTTTATAAAAAGGGAGAAAGTTTGCTGTAAAAGATTTATGAGTCAGGTTTCTTTTCTGTCATGGTGCTATAATAGATGGCCCAAAGGATCAGCTGTGAAGCATGTTACATGAGGAAAACACACACACAGAGACCTACTGCTTTTCTACTGTACTTGGAAATCATTTTCTGTAACTAAAAATATATAAGTACAAATAAGAATACCATTTAATTATAAAATATAATGCCCCACAAGTGCTATTTTTCTCTTTCTGCTCCTCTATCACACAAACATATGACATGCACATGGAGATAAGCATAGAGTTAGGGGCGATTCAACTGGGAGGGTTAACAGGAGGCTCCTTCATGCACAAAATTGCAACCTGATTTCAGCTTTTACACATTCCAATTTGTGTTGAGCTATTTTTTATTTTGTTTGTACTTTTCGAAACAATTAATGTGTATTATAAGGAGGATGATCTGCCCATGCCATAGACAATTAACTGTATGTTTATGTTGTGGAAGTCCTTGTGATGTATAGACAGAAAGATTGCATTCCAGAGGCAGAACAGATTTTACCAAAATATATTTGGTATTTGACCGATTTAAATGTGCTATACGTTTCGAATACTTGATGATCCTTAAGAAAAAATAAATATAATTACTGTAAATGGCACTGAACTGTGATTTTACCTTTCATGAAACTCAATAAAATCTTAGTCCTTATAATAAAATGCATTTGAAAAAGTGTCCCAAAAATAAAAATGCTCATCCAAGCAACTATTTTGTCAGTAGCCTTTCTACATATTGTTGCCCGTTCACAAACAGCCCAAGCAATGTGCTGACTCAGTAATGATATTTTTATATCAAAGTGTTCTCATGGTAAATAATCAGCTGACGGGTTCATTTCATTTGGATTCCTTTGAACTATTTCCCTTGGAAAGTTGCAAACGATAATTTAGCTAAAAAATATGAGGCTCACAAACTGAGGCCTTTATAGTACAAGCAATAACATTTCACTACCACACATCTTCAAAACATATAGTACACTACTTTAAAAAAGATTTGAATTATTACTAATGTCTGAACTAATATTTTCTTCCCACTCACTGTTGATGTTTCAAAACATTGGGATTAAGGAGCTGTGAAACAACACAGAGCAATTATTCCAGTCAAAGCTGAGAAGACAGGTGGATAGAAAAGGGACAAAAGGCACCAGTTCATCACCAATTCATATTTATTTTATTTATTTCCAGTGGATTCATTAACACTTAAAGTTTAGTATATGAGCCTAGCTCCGGGGAAAGGCTCTTTCTTGAAACACTTTGTTCATCTTTATAAGAGGATACATCGTTATAACATCCTAATGAATACAGTGGTTGTGTTGTAATCATTCATACTGAGGTAAAAAAGATCAAAGGTTAAAAGGCTAGTACAATTTGGCTTTCAAATGATACTTTGTCTAATTAAAATTGATATAATAAGGCATCACAATAACTGCAGGTAACTCACATGTAACCGTAATTCGCATTTTAAGACACAGTTCATATATTCAAGGCACACGTGTAAATCATTATAATGTCAATCAAAACTTTGTTTTCAAATTCAAGATCATTTGAGACATAGCAGTTGGTAATCATGCTCATGGTTAAGTCAAATGAGCTAGAGCACCACATGTCTGTTCTAGAAGAGAACAAGTAATTTGGACAATTTAGGAATGTTACATAAAAACATTTGCATATAGAAGAAACAAAAGCTAACAAAAAGATTGCTAACAGGCACCTTCATAACAACACCACAGTGATATATATTTCCTTTTTAAATGGATCCCAGATTGTTAATACTGGTGTACCTTTATAAGACCGGGTCCTTGCGCTGTCATGCAGCAGTTCTCCTGGATATTCTACCATCTCAGGCGTAGTCGTAGCGTTGCAGGCTGTTGAGCGAAGCAGATTACTTGTGTCCCAACGACTCGGCGAGCTTCTTCAGCCTTTTCTTCAGCTCCAGAGGAAACTTCTCATAACACTTTTTACACACAGGCTTCATGTCAAACTCAACAAATTTGTTCCTGCGAAGAAAGAAAAGAAAGACACCGTGAACACTAAATATGTAAACCAATGACTCGTCTCTGGCCCTTATTTACCTTTTTGATTTCCCTCGCAGCTGCGTTATCTTTCTCTTAATATTATCATCACTGCAGCTTTACATTTATTGCACAAATAAACTCCACACTTTTAGGGAGCAACACTAAACAACACTTTCGTGCAGCAATTCATTATCTCACTCAAATAAAAACATGAAACTTGATGGAAGTATGGCTGAAACAACTAGTCGGTTAAGCGATTAGTCTATCTACAGATCAGATTTACAAACACTTAGGTCGAGTAAATAAGACAGAAATACGGCGACTGAGAGCTCAGCACACAGAAACTTAAAAAACACATGCAAATAGCCAAAATGCAAGCAAATGCAGAAGATATTTGGAATATTTGTTGGGATTTAGGACATTAATTGAAAAAAACAAGATCTTTAAAGACGGAATTTTGGACTCTGAAAATGTATAATAATTAGATTTTTTTTTCTTTTTCGTTTTATATGTATTAAACTATTTAAAGAGAATCTTAACCAGATAAATCAAGATGAACCAGATAAATCATATATATATATTCTTAAGCCTCAATTGTGTTTTATAAAACACATGCCACATATCATACATGACATCTAGCCATGCAGCCAGGCAAGAAACAGCACAGAATAACAGAGGAAGAGATGGAGGAAGCACCAACCAACGGACGGAGTTGTGAGTTGTAAAGAATCATAACTCTACACACAGACAGCCGGTCTTTTCTTGTGCTCTTTGGCATCACGCTCACGGCGAGCCAGGCGGCGCTTCAGCTCCTCGGGCATGCGCTCATAGCAGTGCTTACACACCGGCTTCAGGTCAATTTCAACAAACTTATCTCTGAGTAACCAAGAAGTGAAGTGAAGCATGTTAGAGGAGAAATTGGAAGAAAAGGGGGGAAGATTTGTAGTAGTGTTAAAACGAGAGTAGGGGTTAAATGTTAGAGAAAATCTGGTAGTATTATACACAATAAGTTAGTAAACAAAGAGGCTATTGATGAGCCACATCACTTACTTGAGAGTGAGTTTTGTGTTGCAGGTGGAGCATGAGAAACAGCTGACACACCAGGCCTTGTTGAGAGCAGACACCACTGAGAAGAAAAAAGGAACATATGAACATTCAACTCAACATTTTATGTAAATTACGAAATACGCTTATTCTAAATGTGAGCTTGCTTATATTGATACTCACCATCGCCTTCAATCACACGGTTGCAGTGATAGCACACATCGCCAAAGAGCTGGATTACAGAGAAACAAGGAGAGTGGGTTTCTGTACAACATTATGATGTCCGTCATGTCCTCCAAAGTGCACTCGTGTTCCTTACCTGGTTATAATGAGTCTCACAGTACGCCAACCCCTTCCTCTCATAATGCCGATGACCGAGGAAAGGCTTCTCACACTTGGCACACACGAAATGCTGTAAACAAAAACAAATGTTGCTGAGGGAGAGGGGGAAAACGTCTAATGAAGGCAGGAGAAACTGACTAGAGGAGCAGTTGCCAAAACAACATGAATAATACATGAGCCTCATATGAATATGTTTTTCTGTAAGTTATAGACTTGACCTATTGGGAAATATTTCTGTTGTATCCTGAAGTGTTGCCAAAAACGAATTCATTATTAAATTGAGTGCCATTCGCTGATGATAGTCTGTGGAACAGTATAACATTCAGCAACCTCGACACATTAACACTCAACATATTCTGCCTCAGGAGAATGTATCTCTTTAAAAAGTGCTCACATTTCTCCTACTGCCTATAATTATCTCATTAACAATGTTTTGGTACAAAAGTAATTTTTTTTAATTGATTATGCATAGGTAATTTTACTGAATGTAAAGTTCATCTGAGTGAAGTCTAAACATCAACCACATCATCTACATACACATCTGTGTATCAACCACAGAAAGGGGCAAGCATTACATGTTGTCACTATTATCAACCAAAGTCAGAAGTCTTACTGACCATACTCCATTTAGTCAAACTTTTAATGTGCAGAAGAATTTAACAGAAACACTTCCATTACCAAATGGCATTCATTTTGTTATAATCTTAATTAGATGTAATGGCCCCTATTGTGTACCTCTGTCTGGGTTCGACACATTAAGGTGGCAATTCAATTTACTTTAGCAGGATGAGCAAACTCCTAATGTAATCCCATCGAAACAACAAACAACAACATCGTATTGATTACTTTGAAACACACACAATTGTTATGTCGTATTGAGTGTGTTATACAAACCTCCACATGCCACTGCTTCCCCATAGCGTTGACAACACGGCCCTCGATGGGTCTCCTACAGGCACCACAGATTGGGACACCCATCTTGTCGTGGCAGGGCAAACAGTAGAGCTCTCCCTTCAGCTCCCTGGCTTCGACTGTCAATTCCTTCCTGTGTGCACACAAATATTAAAACACATTAAAGGTCATTGTTATGTGGTTATATATTCTGGAGAGTGTACCGTGTTATGCGCTTAATAATAGTTTAGCTTGGGAAGACTGACCCACAATTGCTGCAGTTGAAGTGGTCTGGGTGATAGGGGTCGTTCTTAAAGATCAGCGGCTGCTCTTCAATGATGGCGTGGCACTTCTGGCAGATGTACTTGCCCAGGCCCCGAGCTTTCTCGCGGTTATGGCACGGGCGACAAAGGTGCCTGAGGTAAATGAAGGAGGACAAAATGTTAGGTGTGTCAAGAAAGTATAATCAGTATAACATAACGGTTCAACATACTCTGCCACAGCTCCTTAAAAGTTCAATACTTCAATACAAATTGCGAGTCAGCAGGTTGAGGTGTGTGTAACCTGCCTGATTCACAGGCACTGTTATATAAAGAATGGAATAAGATAAGACACGTACCTGCCAGCATTTTTGACAAACCCCACGTCTGCAAGCACAGCCTGGCAAATGTCACAGCAGAAGCAGTCTGGGTGCCAACTATTGTTCATGGCCTTAATGACACGACCAATGATGAACTCGCCTGAGGGAAACCATAAGTGAGAGAGCAATTTGAGTCCAAGTTTGACTTTTTCAACATTTATTGAAAATGAATGACATTTTCTAGGTAGTGTACAGTAGTTCATAATGAGCTCCATTTTGGAGTCCTGCAGTTTCTACAATGCTCTGCAGTGTTTTTATCGGGTTCTCAGAGTGACACTTTGATTTTAAATGCATTTTAATTGTCCATTTACATTAATTACAGCATGTTTGTCTCTCCCTGGACACAGTCCACTAGTATTTAAATTAAGCTTACAGAGCACTAAAATGCATCATGGGTAATCTAAACACAAGTGGGAAGTTCTAAATAAAAGTATGATTAGACTTAAAGATCAGTGAGGAATGATGGGATCTGAACTCTCTAACAAGGTCAGGGATGCTAACATGGAAATATGTACCGTACTGCAGTGCACCAAAAAAGAAAGAGGTGCAAGGAACTCTGTACAATACACAACATCTTCACTTCAGGCACAAGAGATGTATTCTAGTACCATGTAAAGCCCTATTACATCTGAATACAATAGACTTTATTATTTACACAAAATGTGGGATTCGCACACCCCCACAAACACTAAATATGGGCATGCCTTAAATGAATGAGGGCCTATAACACTCACCACATTGGTGACAGCAAGGCGCAAAGAGCATCTGGAAGTCATGTTCACAATATTTTCTTCCTTCAAACTGTGAAAAGAAAAATATTGAAATCCCTTAACTCAAGAGAAACACAGGAGGAGTATGTTTTATCATTGTGTTGATTTGTGAAATGATTTACAATGTTTATTTGAGTGCACTACCTCATAGAAAAGTCCTTCAGGGAACTGCTGAAAACACTGGGCACACACAAAGCACTGCTCGTGGTACAGCTCTCCATTACTATTCACAATCTTCTCAGTGGCAGCAAAGCCGCTCTTACAGCGCTCACAGGCCGCACTGGCCAGGGCATTAGCAATGCTGTTGCATGAGACAAGAAAATACATATTAATACATTACGTCCCCAGAGTCCCCCGTGAACTGTTGGGCTGACAAATAACTGGGATGCAAGGCGGACCAATGTTTATCATTTCTCACATATCTCCTACAACTGTTGAGCTTGTTTCAGCAGCTGTCACCATGGAGAGTGGAAAATAATTTGTGAATCAGTTGGGGAACTCACTACTCACAGTCCCGCCAGGCCAGAGCCTAATTTGGTAAAGGAGTAGAGGTACTGAAACAGAGCTGACAGACGATGGGCAGCCTTTCCTCCACACACACACACAATTACTAATAAATAGACCAACAACAACACTCTGATTTTGTGTTTTCAATTCACAGTTGAATGCTATGCCACATCTTACAACTTTCTCAGAGTAGTTTGGTAATTACCGAAACTATTTAAGTCAAGTTGTAAAATTAAAGTACAGTAGCTCCCGAGCCAAGGTATTGAATGTTAGTTTCTGTAATTTCTAAATATAGTCATTAAAAACGTAATAATAATAATTATAAACTGTAGTTGTACATAACCTTTGAACACATAGGGATTAACATGGTTAAAACGAGAATACAACAACACTTTAAAGTAAACAAAACAAAAACAATAGTAATGTAAAAACAGAGGCAAAAACACGAACAAGATAAGATGATAGCAATGGAATAATTTGCTATATTTTAGTAACTTTAAATCAACAATTGTCAGACCGAATTGTCTTATTATTCAGACCTGAAAAGTCAGACCTTTCTGATCAGGGACGGTGAGTGCTAATAATTCCCATCATGTTGAAAAACATTAAAACGCTAGCTAGCATGCTAATCTTAAAGTTAGCTCCAATCAGGGGAGGAACCCTACCACACAGTTATTTTTGCCTAATATTATTTAATAAACTATAACGCATCATTATGTCAGAAATGAAACAACTTTCAAGCTGTAACCCTGAATCGAAATGATAAATTAATAATAACATATGTGTTGTCGCTTAAAAAGAGGTGAGCTAACTTTACCCCAATGGTTATGTTGGCAGCTAGTTTGCTAGGTAAAGCTAGCGGTTGTGTAGGTCTGCTACAAGCTAACGTTAGCCAAGCTAATGAAAGATCTTACCTGCCCGTCATCCCAGCAACACCAAGCATCACCTCTCAGCACGACAGTCTTAGGAAGGTAGCTCAAAAACTGACATGTGTTTGTGTGTGCCTATTCCTTTCACTGAGTTGTTAAAAGTTTTCAAGTGAAAGCAGGATGGTGTAGAGCCGTGTCTTCCCCTCCTAGCAGAGAACTGTAGCTTCTGGACACACACTGGGGGAGTGTCCAGAGGTGGGAGAAGTACAGAGTGTATGAATACTAAAAGTCCTGCATTCAAAAGGTTACTCAAGTAAAAGAACAAACGTATTTGCATCAAAATATACTTGAAGTAGGCTACCAAAAGTAAAAGTACTTCTTATGCAAATTGACCCATTTCTGAATCATATATTTCTGAAATGGAACAATTTGCATAATATGTACTTTATACAAATGATAACTAGCTACACCATCACCCACCAAAATCACTTCCTCTGTTGCAGTGCTTCCAAATTCACTTCACCCTTTGAACATGTTCAAATACAAACATAATAATGACAGCAACATTTATTTTGAAGAAATATGCTTTTCTGAGACCAACCTTTGTTTCTCTCTTTTAAGCCAGTAAATAGTAAATAGCCAGTAATACAATTCTGCGGTAGCGGTTCGGCTTTCGGATGGCTTACAATAATGATGATTTGACTTAGGTAATGTAAAATTCAAAATGAATTTGAGCATAGCTGAAGACAAAATATACACACAGATGGAATGTTGAACTATGGGCCCCAATTAGAGAGAGAGAGAGAGAGAGAGAGAGAGAGAGAGAGAGAGAGAGAGAGAGAGAGAGAGAGAGAGAGAGAGAGAGAGAGAGAGAGAGATAGAGAGAGAGAGAGAGAGAGAGAGAGAGAGAGAGAGAGAGAGAGAGAGAGAGGACCAAATGTGTATTGGATCAATATTTTTACTTGAAATTGTACCGTTTGTTATTATCACTATTTTCTTTTTATTTTCTCTGATAAAAGATGACACAGAAATTCAACATTAAAGCTCCTTCTTCTTCTTCTTCTTCTTCTTCTTCTTCTTCTTCTTCTTCTTCTTCTTCTTCTTCTTCTTCTTCTTCTTCTTCTTCTTTCTTCTTCTTTTTTCTTCTTCTTCTTCTTCTTCTTTCTCTTCTTCTTCTTTCTTCTTCTTCTTCTTCTTCTTCTTCTTCTTCTTCTTCTTCTTCTTCTCTCTTCTTTCTTCTTCTTCTTCTTTCTTCTTTCTTCTTCTTCTCTGTCTTCTTCTTCTTTCTTCTTCTTCTTCTTCTTCTTCTTCTTCTTCTTCTTCTTCTTTCTTCTTGGTCTTCTTCTGTGCCTTCTTGTCTTTACTTCTTAATTCGTTCTTCTTCTTCTTCTTCGTCTTCTCTCTCCTCCTCAACTCCTCCTTCCTGGGAAGACTTCGTTCCAGCTCAGTTGGATGTTGTCATCCACTTCTTGGTCCCGTAGGTTATTTTTCATCTGAGTGACAAAACTCCTCATCGTTATCATTCACTGTGTGTACTGTGTGCATGTATGCGTGACAATTAACGAGGGTTTCATCCTCCGATTCTATCTTTTTATGTGACATGCACAACTCAAAAATCTCCATCCCTTTTTTTTGGCTCCATAAGATGTTGATATTTATAATGTAAATAGGAATATGGGCCAGGCAAGGAGAAACATGGCTAGTGCACATTACACACACAAATATTTTCAAAACAGTTACTGTCTTGAGTTGTGTCCATATCAAATCTGCTTTATTTTTCTAAATAAGATGCAGTGACTCAGAAACATAAGACATCAAATAGAGGCATGGTGATGATGAAAGGAGGCAGAAAGACACGTGGAGGCCAACAAACCTGTTTATGTCATCGGGGTTCTTGCATCCATTATGTCTGCAACCCAAATTCTTCAACACCTCCCAGTGGATATCACCCAGCCCGTAGCGATGATCAGGAAGCAGTACCTCCTCCATGATGGATAGCTGTGCTGGTCTTTCACCATTCATCTACAAAACTCCATAATTGGACTGCAGGACACCTTGCTCTCTCCCAAGCCAATGCGTGCAGCGTTGGGAAAAGCAGATGATCTCCTTGTCCAGGGGTCCTGTCCTGTTGAAGCACAGCCAGGTGACCACAACATGACCCAGCATCTTTACTGATGCATCAGCCAAAGTACAGATGCGTAGATTTATTTAGAGATAGAGAAAACATTAATTAAGAGACTACAAATCTACACAGCCTGGCTGAGAAAAAATGTATTCGGACAATGTTGTTCTAACTCCCTGTAGCTTTTGGCCTAGATACCTTTATTGTCTTATTATAACAATTAGGAGGGATTTATTAATTGGTGTTTTGCCCTAAAATGTCTATAATTCTATATCAATGTCATGTCACCTCCTATCTACATTTATGTCATCCAGTCACTTCTGCCCAATTAACTCATTGACTGCTAATAAATGTGTTTTATTCCAACATTCCCTCTCAAATGTGGCCTCCTGTTACTAACAAGATCCCAAGGGAAAGTGCTTGCCGTTCCAGGGATGTAAAACGTTTTGCACCAATGCAATGTCTGCTATAATTGTCCTTGATAAATCATATTCCCAACAATAATTAGTCATTCATGATGAATCATTATTAATCATAGTCTCCTTAATAGCTATCACTTCTTCCATTTGTCAGTACTTGCATGTGAAACATGTTAAGGGATATAAATGAAACAGAAACACTTATTTCACATCAGCTCTAGTGATCAAAAGTCCGCAAAGCACCTCCAGATTTAGACACATGAATTAAAAACATACTTCAAATGTGAAGCCATACCACTTTGTTTATTATTTGTCTTCCAAGATTGACCGTCCCAAGAAATTAGGGTAGATATCCCTATAACAGATGTCAGTTTGGTTTCATTTAGTTTCTAATAGCCCAACACCCATTCATTGGTAACTTATTGGTTCATTAAAAAGAAAGGCTTTATGAGGCCCCACTTTTTAAAGTACTATCCATTAAGAAGGCCTGAAATGTTAATGTTTAGTGTTGTAAATGTCTTGACTTTTATTTTTATTTTATGTTAGCTTTTCTGAAGTTTATTGTCACATTTTGATCAGGTCGGTTGCTGATCACACAATGCGGCGCGCCAGGCCTGGTGTGTGTGTGTGTGTGTGGTGTGTGGTGTGTGTGTGTGTGTGTGTGTGTGTGTGTGTGTGTGTGTGTGTGTGTGTGTGTGTGTGTGTGTGTGTGTGTGTGTGTGTGTGTGTGTGTGTGTGTGTGTGTGTGTGTGTGTGTGTGTGTGTGTGTGTGTGTGTGTGTGTATGTGTGTGTGTGTGTGTGTGTGTGTGGTGTGTGTGTGTGTGATCAGTGCTTTGCTACACGATGTCCTCGTACATGATGTGTAAGGTCAGAGAAGCTCATGTGAGCACTTGGCCACAATAATAAGGCAAATGTTGGTCAAACTAAAATTATAACTTACAAAATGTAATGTATAAATTGTGTCAGCAGGTCACTGTTAAGATAAGAAAGTGGCTAAGCTTGCCTGCAAATAAAGATGGTAAATTAAATAATAATTTGGCTGAGGCTTACCTTGGGCAGACACATGATGCTGGGCCTGGCTGTGGAGATGTCTTTAACTCAAACTGAACATTCAGAAGAATTCACTTAACTGCACTTTCTTTTTTACCAGAATCAGAATACCTTTATTAGTCCCACAGAGGGGAAATGTGCATCACTGGGGGGTATCACTTTACCCCCCATCTCCTCCTCATCATTAGTTCATACCTTGAAGCTGACATACTGCAGGTGGTTGCCATGCTTTTTTATTCTCTGTTGGATGAAGTCTGCGTCTGTGGCCTTCAGGTATAGGAGCTGGCTGTTCAACTTTAACTCAAAGCAGCACCACAGCGCCAGAAGAATAAAAGATGTCAAGCCCCAGCACACCATTACTAACACCAAGAATAAATAATAAAAATATGAAAATAAATCTAATTTAAGGGATCCAACTGACAAATTCAAAACTGACTTAACAAAGGACAAGCACTGTTCATATTATCAGAATATCTTTATACCAATATAAATGTTTCTCAATTTTCAAACAGCTAACATCAGCAGCAATTCTAACCTCAACTGAATAATGTAAGTATTTACCATGATTAACATAGCCATACTTTATTCATATTAAGCAATATTTACCACAATAGGACTTTTACATTAATGTAGCCTGAGGGAAGTGGCCTTCACCACAGCATAAGTGTGAGGAATAAAGTAGTTGTTGTTTGTGCGTTTATGCCTGATTCCTTTTTAGAGTCAAGCTGTGGAAACAAGCTGTGTCTGTCTGCTGCTTGTGCTGAGCATAAAGTGTTCAACAGGGAATTACAGCTTTTGTGTCGAAAACAACTTTATGAAAGCAGTGGGACTTGTAAGATTGAATGCAAACATTACAATTGTGGGCTAAAAGGCAAAACAATGATTTGCATATTGCTATTGAGGGAAGCTGCAAAATCATGTAACATTTTCTGTATGTTCGTCACCGGGTTCACATTGCAGCGTTTTCATTTGATTGTTGTCATAAAAAAAACATTACCTGTAGCTGTTTTGGCAATGATTAAAACTATACAAAACCCAAAGTTATAATTACTTTAGAAGCGTAAGCACCGTCCAGCAGAGGCAGTGGGGGAGATGTGGAGCAGGACCTCCTGAGGCAGAGACCCCCAGTGTCTGCCTTCATCCTGAGTAAACAGAGGAGATGTTAACGTGTGTTTTGTTTGTTCCTTTCGGGACTCTTCGTGGTCTGTGTTTTGTTTTGATGTGAAGCTTAATTTCTGCCTCATGTTGTTATTGTATTCATGTTTCTGTGGTCTTCATTTGAACTTTTGTTCTTTCTTGTGAAGCACTTTGTGAATTTGATTTCTGTGAAAGGTGCTATACTAAATAAATGTATCATTATTATTATGTATTAACAAAATCCAGATGAATGGGCATTTCACTCAAGAAACTCTTGAAAGGCAGTGCTATTTAAATGTTATAAATGTTCTCCAATTGATCCTATTATTCACAAGCTTGCAGTCCATGTCTTGTAGGCTGATGAATTGTGACTTATATTGAATATATATATTTGAAATTATTCATGGTTGTAGCACTTCAATTACTATCATTACCCGTTAATAATTCATATGAATTATGTATGAATCAATTTCTTAACACATAACATATTCAAAATAATGAAATTAATTAAATGCACAATGATGTGAAAAAGAGTCAATCACATTTGTGAAGCTGCTATCAATAATTATTGTTTTTGAAGGATTTCTTTATTACAAATTAACAGATTTTACAGATTCTTTATATTATCAAGACTAAGTATTCACTTGTTTGCCCCAAAGGGTTGTAGGATGAAAAACCCCCTTTTTAAAGGGGACTACGTTGCAGTACCTATTCATATTAAGCACTTATTAATCATATAATATTCTTGTGTGACACACAATTCATCAACATGAACATTCCCCAAAATAATTCAGATTTCGGATTCCTCACCAATGATGGCTGAAAGCCAAACCGCTCCACAACTCTGCTTCAGTAAATTGCCTGTCCATTTGTATTTTATTTTTTTATTGACCGCTTATGTTATATCCTTAAAGTTGTACTACTGCCATCTTCTGGAGTTAATGCCTACATTGAAGGGAAGTGTTACTGAAAGTAGTATATGGTGAAATGGGAATTGTTCAACTTGAAACAACAGGGAGTACAAACGTATATGTGGCTGTTTTCACAAGGATCGCAGCATTCTTGTATAGTACTGATGTTTCTGTTTGATACTCTCCCTTTTTTGACATTTGCTTTTGTTGCAACTAGGGCTGGGCACCTTTTGCCCAAATGCTTGAATATCAATATGTAGGGTTGGTCATTAACGCATTCACAAAATATGTACACAATGAGGAGTCATCAGTAATGTAAATATAATAACCAAGGTGGAAAGGCAAGTAATAGAACAGCTAGAACAATATAGTACATTTAAAAAAGACAGTGATTTTAACCAGGAGAAAACCAGTTACGATATTCAAAATCTAACATGATATTAAGTCACACATAATTTAAAGATAATTATATTTATATATATATATATATATATATAGTTGATTTGAACACCAAATACTGTATATTACTTAAGGATTGTATACTATCCTTGTACTGTGTAGCACCTGAATAGGAATGATTTTTGTTTTAAACTGCTTGATAAATATAAGCAGCTGATCACTTTCACCTTTATCACTCAAATGTTTCCAGTATTTAGACTTAGAAAGATCCCTTTAAACTCAATCAAATATATAGTGCAATATCCTCTTGAAAGAAAAAGTAGATATTTTCTAAATTAAGGGTGCAAGATTAAATAATGAAGACGTTTATTCTAAAAACTGAGCACATTCATTGGAAAAAATAATTGCATAATTTCTGCTGTTTTACATGGGAAACATCAAGATAATATGATTCATGAGGGCTAACAGACATCTATAATGCATTTCCTTCCTCAGAAAACATTTAGAAAATTGTGTAAAACATTCATTTTAGATCCGTATTAAGCCTGCTGTCTCTTTATTTATTTTCCCAATGTGCCTTCACTTGAGTGTCAATGTTACCTGTAGATCAGGATAATATTGTGAAACCATTGGCTAGAATGTGTGCCCCGATGCGTGCATGAGAGACAAGGAAACTGGGACCGATAAGAAAATATATATTTAGTTTTATATTGTAAACAGTAGTCAAAAACTCAACAAGGAACATTTAAACACAGCAAAAGGACAAGGAGTAAACAGCAGTGTATTTTGGAAATCCAATTCTATATGAAAATGAACATCAGACGCTTTATCATCGAACTTCCATTCAGAAAAGCCATTCAGTACATCAGTCAGACGTGGTCAAAGCCACTCAGTGAAATCTGTTTGAGGATAAGGCCACGAGGTGGAGGTGTTGATTTTAAATCCCATGGTAAAGGAGATCAAATTTGGGAATATTTTGAGGATCTATGGGACTCTGGACAATCATCTTCCCACGCATGGCTCCTCTGTAAATGACCTCTATCAGATCCATGAAATCGTGTTTGGTCTTGAAGCTGCCAATAAACTTGGTGTGATCTGGGGAGCTGAAAGAGAACATAAAGTCAAACGTACTCTTTTCATTTACAATGAATGGCATCTGTTGTAGCTAAGGTATATATATATATATATATATATATATATATATATATATATATATATATATGCAAAATCTGGCTTCTCAAAGTAAATATTCGCTACTTGTATTTAGTTTCATAGTTTGAGCTATGGACTTTTGCCTCCCGGGACCTGTAAAGCACTTTTATTTACAAAACTAAAACATGACGGTACATATTAAGTTAAGATAAGGCTCTGTGCATTTGTTGGGCGATTATATTTGTTGATGTTATGGAATTTTCCTAAATGTATGCAGTATGTTTTTTCTATGGTTGTATTTGTAAATGTGTCAATGACTATACATGCATTTGAGCATGTGTAAAAGGTAAATACAATTTGTTGGCAATCAATCATGCAGGCTATAGATATATTTATATATTTTTTGTATTTATTCTGCATCTAATGTTTCAGTGTTTAACTGAGAGCACGAATGCTAAACTCAAAGTATAACTTTTACACAATCCCTCATTATGAAACATTAAGCATATTAGTTGATGAAAATCCTGAATTATAGCCCCATCTTGAATCTTTCTGAGAAGAAGAATCGTACGTCTTCAGATAATTATAACCTAATAGTTCCCTTCTTTCACTTACCCATAATCCACTTTCATGTGCTGTCCGTTGAAAAAGAAAACAGTGGAGGGGATGTAACTGATGTCAAAGTATCTTGTGTAGATAGGCACTTTATCCACATCCACGATGTAGACGGACGCCATGTTACTCAGGTCATGGGCAGTTTTTGACAGCTAGGATGGTAAGAAATTGACAAATTAGAAAAAACAATCATGACACCAACACATAGCACCCGTTTAAAAATAAAGTTATCTTGTTTACAATCTCGTCAATATGGAGGCAAATCGAGTCCTCATCTCTGCCGAACCTCAGTACTACGACTTTTTCTGCTACCCCTTTAATAACTTCATCAATGTCTTTTTTGCAAGTTAATTTAGGCAAAAACAAACTCATTTTCAAGGCTTAAAGGCTAGCTATCCCTGCTCTGCCGAAAAGAGGAAATTACGTCATTGTTACTGTACGACTCGGAAATAAATCCGACTAGAAATAGCATAGAAATTACGTTAGATATTTGTTATTGTATTATCATTTATATCAACCTTTCCTAAATAATTAAAATAAAGTAAAAATCGTATTAATTGGAAGATCTTGTTTTGGCCCAGCTATGTCAACGTTAAAGATAAGACGAGCTAAGTCGTGCGTTCATGTCATGTGGTGGCGTTTCACTACGACACAGTAGAGTGTGACACCGTCTATACAACGTGACCTTCTCTTGATGTTTGAGAACCACTAACGCTGCGACATACGTTTGGGAATATTAAAGAGTCAAGATGCAGATTTGGCTTTCATTTGTATGAAAGTGGAAATCACAGGGTTCCGCTTTTCAAACACGTTTTTGTTCCGTGAAGACACAGCGTCTGTATTTCTTGGTTTCGGTACTTTTGACAGAGCGCGATGTTGCGGCTCTTTGCTAACCGGGGTTTTTATGAACTCTGTAAAGCAAGTCATTTTGCGGCAGCGTGTGTGACAAAGAGGCAAGTCACACGTTTCCTCCCAGTCAGCAGCACCTCTCATCCCCGGCTACACATCCCTGCTCGCCCCTTCAATACTGGGATCCCGGGGAGGAAAGACGCCCTCCAGACAAAAGAAGATATTCCCGAGGACACAAAGACACTAGATCTGGATAAATGGAAATCTGTAATGAGAGCCCAAGCATCAGAAGAAAAACAAGTCAGTGATAAAGAGGAAGCATGTGATGATAATGACGATCTGACAGAACCAGGTGTAGATTCAAAGGATAATTCACTGGAGGAATCTCGGGATCTCGTTGCTATGTGGCGCCAGGCAGGCAAGCTTGTACCTGAAGAGATGACGGATGAAGAGGTCCGGGCCCTTGCAGAACTTACCACCAAGTCCTCCAGGAGGAAGTACCTCAGGCACCTGTCCATCAAAGAGGGCCACAAAAAGTTTCGTAAGGAGAAGCAAGAGAAGAAGAAGGCAGAGAGGGAAGTCACAAGGGAGGAACTATTGCCAAAAGAAGATGTTGAGCTTGGAAACCAATTGTTCCTCAAGTTATGGGACCGCACCATAGACAAGCACACGGCCTGGAGGAGCGTCCAGGCCATGAGGTTCGGTCAGCCACTGGTGTTTGACATGAGCTATGCGTCCGCGATGGCCAGGCGGGAGTTGGAGAACACAGTGCATCAGCTGATGGAGGTTGAATCTTGGAACCGGCGTGACACTGAACCCTACAACCTCCACTTGTGCAACCTACAGGCAGACGGGACCTATCAAAAGGAGCTGCTCAAACAATATGGTGCAGATGTCTGGGATCGCATGCTCATCAACAGTTCTGACAAACATTACATTGATCTGTTTCCCCGTGAACAACTCGTATACCTTACTGCAGACTCCCCCAATATTCTCCGCACATTTGACCACTCAAAGGTCTACATCATTGGAGCTCTGGTGGACCGGTCCAGCCAGCCAGGCTTGTCTTTGGCCAATGCCAAGCGTCTGAATCTGGCCACAGCTCGTCTACCACTGGATCAGTACCTTCACTGGCAGATAGGAGCCAAAAATCTAACTCTGGACCAGATGATGCGCATCATGCTCTCAATTAAGGAGACGGGGAAATGGGAGGAGGCGTTGAAGTTCGTACCTAAGAGGAAGTTTGATGGCTTCCATCATGAACGGACACAGCAAGAGATTCCCCAAAACAGAGTAAAGGGAAATTATAGACCAAGAGAGGATGGTGAAAAGCCGTTTAGGTCTGGTGAGAGGACATTTCACAATGAGGGCCAAAGTCTTTACAAGACCCATAAAGAGTCTGGATTCAGTGGTAGTGACAGAGAGAAGATCTCCCAACCATCTGCAACAAGTGTACGAACATCATTTGAAAGCAACATTGAGGGAAGAAGAAATGATGGCAAAGGAAAGGTGTGGTGGAATGATGAGTGAATTCAAACTTGGGATAATAATGATAGATACATGCGCTGTCTGAGGAAATGTAAAGCATAGACAATTGGTGATTAAAGAGTTGTAATATGTAGTCATTTGTTCTTACAGAATGCATGTTTTACTGATTTCTGATGTAAACAAGACATTTAAAGAGGTGCAAACATCTTTGGTCTTTATTTTGATCTGATGGAAAATGAAAAAGATGTATAAATGTTTTCTGGTATTGTTTTCACTGTAAAGTATACACTATCAATGCAAACTGTTCAATACAAATGAAATAAACCATAGTATGTCAAAAAGGCATGTGCAGTTTATTACTATCATTCATTTCATAGTGTATTCCAAAGCAACAGCAAACGTCAGTTTTTAAATGATGCATTACAAAATGAATCACTTAATGCCATGATTCATGAAAACACTAACAATCATTTAAAAAGTTGTTGGAATTTCTTAAGATTTTATTTTTCTCTTTTAAACTCTGCAAATAAGTGGACTCGCGTGTATGTGCAATACGTCTATTGTAGTACCGTCAATCAATTTCCAAAGGATTTTATATATATTCAAAGGCCTTTGCAACATGCATTATACAAAACATATAATAGCGTGTCATAATGCAAAATTAGGGCCGCCCCCTGCAGTGTAAGAGGCATCAGCACCTATTCTTTTTTCATTTGAAAAAGGTACAAATGTTTGACTTCAATTAGCTCATTTACGGTTTGTTAGCTTGCCCAAGGGTGTTTCCACAACAGGATGTCTTGTTTGCTCTATTGCACATTGACTATATACAATAATGGATAAATACAATTTAAAACATAGTAGTATAATGTTCAAGTGTGGATAAGCAGACACCCTAACAGCGTCTGTTCACCATGTAACACTGACTCCTCTTGACCTCACATCCCAGCAATAAATACAACTCAATAGTTTAAACCAGGATGCTTGGCTCTGAAATGCATTCATCCTCACTTTCACATCATGATCCCTGGAAAAACATTCAAGTTGAGGAGAGCAACAAAACAGCAGGTTGTTTACAAACAAAGCTGATATGGGTAGAAGGACTGATACTGATAGAGAGAAAGGTAACCTCTGGTGCTGAATAAAGTCACTCAATACATGTCCTCCAGATTACAGTCCTGTTAAGATCTGTCATTTGAAATTAACGTTGTCCCATTGGGATGTGTTGCCGTATCCCGATGTCCTCTACAGCACCAGAATGTCTCGTTGTCCTCTACAGCACCAGAATGTCTCGTTGTCCTCTACAGCACCAGAATGTCTCGTTGTCCTCTACAGCACCAGAATGTCTCGTTGTCCTCTACAGCACCAGAATGTCTCGTTGTCCTCTACAGCACCAGAATGTCTCCAGTGCAACGCTCGCAGCAGTTAAAGGTAATATTCTCATAGCGAGTGTAGGGGTGAAACCTGCCGATGCTCTTCTTATTGCTCAGAAAGCCAGAGGAAGTGTCACAAAGCGGGGGGTCAGCATTGTTTTCTGTACAGGAAATTGGATCTAAACTCTTCAGCACCTAAAATACAAAACAGAAAATGTTTTGAGCACTGGACAAATGTTAGATCATTGTAATTTTTGTAGAAGGATGTGGAATTTGTACCTTCTCGGCCATCTTCTCAGCCGGAGTGCTGCAGAGCTGCTCAGCGGCTGCACTGCTGCTGCTGGTGGTTGTTGTGGTGGTGGTGTTGCCTAGCAGGTGGGAGTTGATGGCGTCTGCTAGCTTGTGATTGGCTGCTGACAGCTCTCCTGTGCTGAGGGGCTGTGCACTGGGGTAGTATGTCTGCTGACGTCCCCACTGCAGAGACACGAGGAGCTGCTCCAGAGATCTGACCACAGGAAAGCAACACAAATATTTCAGGAGGTGCACAAAGACTTAAAGGGTCTTTCAATCTGTTTTCAGTTGTGCCTGATCGGCAGCCTAGGTTGATGTACAAACCATCAGTGGCTAAGCTGTGCACTTTGAACCTTATCTGTAAAAGATTATTGTAATGTTTAACGGCTATCTATAAATGTTTTATGCTATGGCTCATCCATTCTTATGCAGTGAGATCAATTGTACATGCAGGATCCTTGCTTTGTTAAAAGTTACTTTGGAGTACATGGCTAATCAAAAAGAACTATACCCATGTCCAAAAAGCAAAAACGATGCGTGTCTATATACAGCTAGTAGAGCCAACTCTTGCACAAATGCACCAAAGAGTGGACACCTAAAACTAAAAGTGCTTACAATCTTTAAGTAAAATCCTTAAGTGGAGCTAGAACTTTATTTAATCTTTATCTGTTGGGTGGATTAAAGGTCACAATAGAGCAACGTCGAATTGAAAAGAGTTCAAGCATTAGTCTTTATCTAATCTCCATCTGTATTGCAAACTATTATTATCAAATATGTACTTCATTTTGTGGTTAAAGGTATACTGTATGTTACCTGTGAGTGAGCACCATGTTTCTGGAGAAGTCTTCTCTCTCCATCAGCAGGTCCTGAATGGCTCCTTGTGCTTCTCTGTTCTGTCTCTGCAGAGTGGCTCTGGCATTCGTCAGCTCATCGGCCATGACTCTGAAGTGACAACAAGTGTTTATTCACCATGATAACGGTAGTGCTGTGAAGAACAATCTTTTTTTTAATCGTATTTGTTAAAAAAAAATGATGACAAAGGATGAAATGTTGTTTTTTCCAACCATTTAAATGTGTCACAATTATTTGGTCTGTTATTCATACCTGCTAGCCAGGAACTTGCTCCTCCAAACGTCACACTGGATGCTCATTCGCTCCAGCTGCTCTGCGGTGTGTGCATGACATCGCCCCAGAGCCTCGTTCTCCAGGATCAGCTGGTTCTTCTCCCGCGACAGACGCTCAAAGTGGTACTGTAGGTCATCACCGACCGATGCAACCAGCAGTTTCTTCAGCTCACGGTTCACCTAGCACACGGAATGAAAGAGGTTAACCAAATTCATCTTACAACTAAATGGAAAAAAGGCCTTTATTTTCACCTGAAGGAAAAACCAAACAGTATCTGCTTCCTGAGGGGTCTCACTTCTGTCTGCACTCGGAGCTGATTGGAGAGGCCTTCCTTGTCCTGCAGTAGCCGTCGTTCAGAGTTCTGCAGCTTCTCCATCTGTTTTCTCCAGTCATCCACAAGAGGCCGCAGGGGAGAGCCCTGCTCTTCAGCCTGTTGCCACGCCTCCCCTTTGCCCTCGGCAGGTTTTGTTCGGATGCACCGGCTAATAGCTGCACGCGGGACGATGATCCTCACAGCCTCCACCTCTGTGCAGGCCTCTCGACTCACTTTGCCCAGGTGGAGCACTCCGAGAGGCTCAGGGGGAGCAGGACGGGTAGCTTTTGGGCTGTGCTTAGGGTTAGATGCCTTCAGGAGGGGAACAGCAGATGGACCAGGTGGTAGTGTATCTGTGATAACCTCGAGGATAGTGGTTAGCGCTTTTTCCGTTTCCATGCCATCGCCAGCGCTTCGAATAGGCCCTCTGGCAGAGCCTGCAATAAAGGAGAAAAGAGTTTACACCTTAACCTTTACTGTGTACTAAGATAACATCAGAAGCAAACCACTTTAAAAGCAGGTGTGAAGAATCTAATAAAACACAATTTGTATTGCACAATGTAACATTTAGGTGTCAAAAGACGCTAAGGAATAGCCTCCACTACCCTCACCAGCAGCATGTTGGAGTGCTGAAACTTTTTTTTTTTACCCACTAAAATGTGAAAAAGCACTAAAGTCCTATTCAAAAATGTGTATCCCTCTTGTGCAGTTTAGTTAAACAATGCTGCATATATTGGGTCACATGACAAGAAACTGCCCCATTTTCATAGCAATATTCATATACATTAGAAGAAAAACGACAAGACTCATACAAACAAGAGGTGTGTCCCAGTTGTTCAGTGTAATACAATTCTGAACCGAAATCTCCGTATGTTGAAACCGACAACACAGGTATGATATGCAAAACTTGAACAAAAAAACAAACATACCTCTCACAGCAGCAGTCATGGTGGTGGCGGTTTTAATCAGGAACAAAAGTAGGTAGTTCAGATGAAACCAGGTGACTCCTCGTCCTGTGACAATAGACAAAGGAGTATGTAATTTGGTTTTTGTAGCCTTCCGTGTTTGTGAAAGCTATCAAAGAAGTTCGCTATCTAAAAGGTCAGAGTCAACACATGGATGTATCATTTAAAGCTGAGACACTGATAACGTTAGATAACGTTAGATAACAGCAGCTTGTCTGGCTGGTAAGCTAACGTGCTTGCTAACGAAGCAGTTAACGGGAAGTTAAACAAACAGTAACGTAGCCGCTTTTTGATAAGCTGCCGGTTTGCTACCCAGACAGACACTTTCCACTAGCTCCATTTGGTATAAGATTTGATGATAAGGGAGCATTTATAGATAGCATACCGAGTTACAATGGGTCCACCGTCCTCGATTAATTTACCGTAGGCACCCCGAAAGCTGTTTATTTTTGCCGTCACCGGACACAGTTGGCCGCTGAATAGTGAGAAGGGTAAATTTGCCCTAGAATATGTATTCCAGGCCACACTTCCTGCCAAGACACCCCTCCTTTTTTGCAAACTAAAGCCTCAACGGGTTACCTGTTCAAAACTGTTCACAGATGAGTACCCCAAGTTATTATTGTAACCTGCATTTTCACAATATGTTCAACATGGACAAGTTATTGAAACAGCAGAATTTGACAAAAAACCCTGACAAGTTACACTCAGGAAATGAATACCCATGTAGTTCGTCCCGTACCCATCACGCAAGACTGATCTGCAGTCAGTTTGTATGTTGTTGTATCGGAAGTCTTATTGAACCAACTTTGTGTGAAACTGATATCAGATCAGAAAATGTATGCTGCCCTGAATGTAAAAGCGGATTGTAAACCGACACGTATAACGCGGAACCTTAATGTGGAGTCCATGATTGCTCCACGGACAAAAAATAGTGTTACAACACAATGTTGAAAAGTGCCCCTGTAGTGCACGTCTCTTTTTTTATTGGTTTTGGAGTCGATACGAATATGCTTAAATTAGTCAGACACAGTTAAACTGATGCCGTGTGTTTCTTGATATTCACAGTATTTGAACTCCAGTTATCATGGGAGTGCATGGACTGTGGAAGCTGCTGGAGAGCACAGGGAAGCCCGTCAACCCTGAGACTCTGGAGGGAAAGATCCTTGCTGTTGGTATCCTGTCCTGGCTGACATAAATATATTTATATTTGTCTCTCATTGTTTTGATAACTTTCCCTTATATTCCTGTCTGACGAAGGCTGTTGGTATATTATGATCTTGTTCATGTGGATCCGTTTGGAACTACCCTTCCTAGGGTCCACATTAGATACACACATTATACTTTTAAGTAATTAAAAATCCAAATAAAAAAACAAAACAATATTTAAATAATCAATAAAACATTTGATACAGCTTAAAAATAATTGCACAACTGAAAAAGCCTATCGAAGGATTGATACAAATGTTTTACTCATTTGTAAAAATGTATACTTGTGTTATACAACATTTGTAAGGTGTGATGGTAAACCATTCCATATTTATTTCCTCTTACCATAACAGTACTTAGCCCTGCATTTATTTAACAGCAGCTGAAAAACGACCTCTTGTTGCATTTAAAATTATGTCTATTACTATACTATGAAAATTGATGTTACAAACCATAACATTTTAGACAATTAGCGAGAGATGGAGAGTAACCGTCCTGACTTTATCAAATGTCCAGCATTCAAGGTTTTGCATATAAGCTCTGCTGGTACAGTTCAGAGCGAGTTGGACCAACCGAGTTCTTACTTATTTGAATTGCTGTCTACGATTGTGGTCGAGTGCATCATGTAGCATTTACCTTAATCAGACTTCCTCATAGACATCAGTATATGGCTGAACCAGGCAGTGAAAGGGGTGAGGGACCGTGAAGGTAACAGTGTGCAGAACGCCCACCTCCTCACTCTCTTCCACCGCGTCTGTAAGCTGCTCTTCTTCCGCATCAGGCCCGTCTTTGTGTTTGATGGGGACGCACCGCTGCTGAAGAAACAGACTCTGGTACGTACAGTGCTCTCTGAAGAACCACATAAGCAGGCTTTGTTCATTATTTAAAATTATTCTCCCAAATGGATGAGATTCCCGAACATATTTTGTCATTTAACATAGCTGTGGCTTTCCTGCAGGCTTTGAGGAGGCAGAGGAAAGAGGAGCTGACCCGAGAGTCCAAACAGACGAATGATAAACTCCTCAAGACGTTCCTGAAGAGACAAGCTATCAAAGCTGCACTTGGAGACGCCAGGTAAGGGAGAGGTGGTTGTACAAGTGGAGGGATGGTTTTCTCTCGTTCTCTACTTAGCTGCTGTCTTAATAAATCCTTCATTAAAAAAAACGACAAGATAAATTGTCTACTCTTCAAGGTTGCTACCCAGTATGGAAATGTATTGAACTAGTTTTACTGTCGTTTTCACATCTGGATAATTATTGAAAAAGGTACAGATAAAATATATGTTTCCAGACTGTTGCCCCTATTCTATTTTCAGAAATATACACTTCAGAGTTTTTAAAATGTCATTGATCATACAAGCAGACTGTTTTTAATGGCATGTGGAGCAGGCAGTCAATCTGTCTGTGTATTTGTCTGGACTGGTGTGGGAACACAAATATGTTTTCCACAATATAAAGCCTGGTTGGCTAATGACTCTTTACAGGAAGAGAGAGCTAAACAGCCCCCCCCCCCAGGCAACACTTGTAAACCATATGCAAGACACAAAGCAATGTAGACTTGTCACAGCATCCGTTGCATCCTCCCATAGTAACCAGGTAAATTGTGGTCAAAAATATCAGCAGGGAAGTCTGGAAATGTGAGACGTATGGAGTATGTGTTGGAACACAGTCTCTTTGTAGAGTCATTGTAACCTCAACTGGTTTTGTTTAAAGTACCCTTCTTTTTTTTCTTTCACAGTAAGGATCCTCTACCCAGCCTTTCCACTGTGAGGAGAGATGAAGTGGACGACATGTACGTTCTGCCAGCCCTGCCAGCTGCAGAGGAGAAAGACAAAAGCAGGTCAGAGGCCTCGGAAGGTTACTATTCACTAGGTCTTTTGGATACAGTTGTGAAGAATCCAATCAGAATATCTACAGTACACTCCTCAGTCTTTCATCCATTGTTTGCAGTTGTTCATGTGTGTTAGATAGGAGAGCCATGAGACGCACTTTGGATAGTACAGTCATTTCCCATATAAAACTGATACATTTCTTAAAGGTGGGGTAGGTAAGTTTGAGAAACCGGCTCGAGATACACTTTTTGTTATATTCCATGGAATGCTCTTAACATCCCGATAACAATGAATATCTTAAGTGCTTTGACAAAAAATCCATAAAAAAACGTCATCTGTGGAAGCCGTGGTACTGTAAAAAGCACGACCAATAATTTTAGCCGGCCCAGTTAAAATAACTGGATGGCCTACCTGCCTGTCAGCCTTCCATCTGTGCACAAACTTATCTCGTGCCCTCATTGGTCATGTGCGTGTTTGTGTGTGTTGGAGGAGGGGCTCTGTAAGGAAGTGGCAGATTTTTTTTTGTGTATTTTCAAATTCTAGCACACTCAAGCTGGTTTCTCCAAAATTACCTACCCCACCTTTAATAATGTTAATGTCTTTTGTTCTTGCAGTTCAGAGGAGGAGGAGGAGGAGAAAGAGTTGGAGGAGACAGATGAGACAGATGAGGGATATCATATGTATCAGGTAAATGTATGACATGCATAAATGTATCACGGTCCATATCACCACCACCACCACAACACTTTTTATACTTTAAAAATGCTACTACTGTTTCGCGAATATGGATGGTATTTTAGTTTTAATGATATGTTATCAATGCTTTGTGGTTGTGGCTGTGTTGCAAAAAAGTAGTTTTGCCAAGGAAAATAAAAACATCACATTATTCAGATGTTCTTGTGTTGGTTGGCTTCATCCTTCAGCCTTTCTTTGTATTATTGCCCAGTATCATAATTGACATCAGCTTACTGTGTTTCAGGGAGAATTATATGAAAACCCTAACTCAGTGGACATCAACTCAGAAGAGTTTGCCAGCATGCCGCTTGAAATGAAACATGAGATACTCAAAGAAATGAAAGAGTTTTCCAAAAGGCGTCGGACCATGTACCAGAAACCCCCAGAGGTACTGTTCACTCGTATTCACTAACACACACACACTCTCCCATAGCCTGTTCAATAACGCTGACTCCTCTTCACTTTCTCTTAGCGCTCATTAGACTTCTCACAGTACCAGCTGGCCGGCCTGCTGCAGAGGAACCATCTGAACCAGCGTCTGCGGGGCGTGGAGAGCGAGATGTGCCAGCTGAGCGCCGGCAGCGCTCCACAGCTCTTCCAACAGGACGGGGACCAGCAGAGTCACAGCGTGGAGTCACGCCGCCTGGTTTCAGAGGACAATTCCCACTACATACTTATTAAAGGTGAGGACATTTATGAGGGTGTGTTTACTCAGTTTCTCAGTATTTTACAGAAAATTGATCAACTATCAGTTGTCAGATTGCTTGAACGCATCAAAAACAGTTCATTTCTCAAACAGTCACTGCCCACATTGGTATTATTGTCACTTTAGGATAAAGTTAAGCAGACTAATTGTTCAGGGTTATTAATTACTAATCTTAAACATAATTTAAATCTCTGCAAAAAACGAATTTAGTGGTGTTGTAAAGTGCATTTTGTAACAATTGTGGGTTTTCTCTTTGTTGAAAGAGACTATCATAAGAGGTAAGAGGTACTTTATTGATCCCAATTTAGGAAATGTTTGCGTTGCAGCAGCATAAAAAACAACAAGACATAAGTAGAAATTAAAGAGTAGAAATGAACAATACTGGAATTTAAACATCTCAAAATTGAATTAAAGCAGCATTAAAAAGTAGAAAATATGCAGTAGGCCGTGAAGATAAAAAATCTATAAACTCTGACAATAAAACACTATTGAAGGGCTTTAGACACAATATAAAGCAGGATATTATTTACATTTACATGAATGAAATATTACATTATAAATACATGTAAAATGTACAGTGAGTCCAGTTATCCAAAGAGAAGCTATGGAGCAGTGAGGTATCTGCCAGCCAGAGGTGATTTGTTATATAGAGTTATGGCAGTGAGCAGGAACGTTTTCCTGGATCGGTCCTTGTGATCCATAAAATGCAGACTTGTTTAAAACACTTACATTTTGCTCACACAGGCTCCAAAAAGATAGAACCCGCCCCTGAGAGCCGCCCTGCAGCTGCAGCCTGGGCCGGCAGCGTCCTGACGGGCTCTAAGAGACGAGCGGTGGACAGACCGGAGCCCCTGTGGCGTCCTGCAGCAGAGGAGGGGCCAGAGGGGTGGG